ATGAACAAGCTTGGGGAAAATCAATGGAAAATGCGGTGCAAATGTCATAATGAAGAAACGCACAGAAATGCTCTTTCGCGCTTTATCACGAGACCACCTGAGCCCATAACTACCCATACTTCACTGAATCAGTGCCGAAACAAATGTCGTTAACACTGTTCAAAGCCCCTGTATGATTAGAAGAAAAATCTTTGGAAAGGAATCTTCTTTCTTGAAGGAAGAACACTGAACTACAATGTAACGAGCCTATCATTGGCACGGTCATCGCCTGCCAAGGACAGGCCAATCAATGGTGTAAATCAATTTCATAAATAAGTAAAAAATTGAAGATATTCAGCGTTGAGCATTGTTTGAGTCTATGAAAATTGAACTCAAACGAGATATTTTACCTCGGGCTTTTTCGGGTACTTGCTGTGATCTCACTTGATGTAGAGCTTTCACTTGTTCTCCGTGATACTCTCAAAAAAGGCATTTATTACTTTTTCTTCATTGTATATTAGGGCCTTACCGTGATCTCGTCCCTGGAGTTGATGAAACGCTGTCCGCTCTTGTACGAGATGGCGTTCGTCTACAAAATCAGCAGTATGAGTTTGAGGACTATTGTCCGTATGCGTGTTCAAATGCAGACACATTCAGTTCGTTCATTTTTGAACAATCACGATATTCAGTACCATATTAAGTGGATACTTACGGTCGCAAACTCCTCGTTGAAGCCGGAGTTTCAGGAATTTTGTCTCCTAGAGATTCTTGTGGTGGAGTTGATGAACCCTCTCTAAAAGTAAAATAAAAATTAGGAAGACATGGGATGAATCAAGCATTGGCGTACAATGTCGATATTTCCGTCTCCTTAGCAGCTCGGCGACTTCGTGACGGAGATTTCCTAGAAATGCATATATGAAAGGGGTCATTTGAGGTCATCCAACTATTGATCAAAAATATATTTAACTCTTACCTTTGTGATAGCAACTCATGTGATACAACATCCTCCGTGGTTCCATGTGGTGTTCTGCTAAATTGTTAACACGTGAAGTAGAGGCATCAATAAACAAATTTTGAAATTTAAAGACTGGCATACCTTCTCAAGGACATCGTTAGGTGAGGTAATTCCTCGCTTTTCCTTGAGGGAGATCTGGAAGAATAAAAAAGACTGATTGAAAGACGTTCAAATTAATTAGAATTAGTAGTACGAACCTAGAACCACCAGCCACATGAGATTCTCCGACATGGTCCTCATGATCCTGGTTTGCGTCTTCAGAAACTTTCTCAGAACTATGCGCTGCTTCCTTCTCACGTAACCTCTGAGAGTGTCTCGTAGGAGTTTCCGGAGGTGGAGTGCGAGTGCCCTG